TGTGATGCCACAGCACTCTACCCAGGGGAATAGCTTGAGGCTCTGTCTCAAAAATAAAAAGGCTCAGTGCCCATATCTCAGTGGTTAGGACGCCATTCACGTGTACCAGTGCTGGTGGGTTTAAATCCAGCCTGGCCTTGCTAAACAGCAATAACAACAACAAAACAGCTGGGCATTATGGCAGGCACCTATAGTCCCAGCTACTTGGAAGGCTGTGGCAAGGGAATTGATTCAGCCCAAGAGTTTGAGGTTGCTGTGAGCTATAACGCCAGGCACTCTCCTGAGGGCAACATAGTAAGACTCTGTCTCAAAAAAAACAAACAAACAAAAAAAAAAACACCACGCTTACCCACATGTCCTCCATGGACACTTGGCACACTGGCATCATCACTATTCCCAGGAAACCCTCCATAAGGCCAGGCTTAAACATGTGCCACTATAGCCCCAGGGAGAGGACCCCTAAAGGGCTCTGCCTCCTGAGCCAACCAAGGTGAGTGGTGAGAGGAGAAGTCGTTCAGCCTCTGGATGTTCACTGCATCCAGCAAGCATATACAGATTTCTCATCCATTCCCAGACACCCGAGTCCAACATTTGAAGCTACAACCTGCCAAGGCAGCACACCCCACACCAGCCTTTGCTCTGGGATTGAGCATGGACACAAAGGGTCTAGCTCTTGATTGACAGGATCCCTCATGGCTGGCTGGCTCTTTCAGAAGAAGTGACTGTCTTTCTGATACCTGACTTCAGAAGTAGAATCTAAGTACATTTTTTAAGTGAATGAAATCAATGGCATAATCAGACTCCTGCATCTAAAATCCACAGTAGCAGTCAATTTTACCAGAATTTCTCCCAAACTCTCAGACTTTCCATTACTCATCCCACAGCAGACGTCTCCCCCACTATAGCCTCGGCCCTTCTACTGGGAAGGAATCAAGGGCACTGAAAAAGTGAGGTGGCCACCAGGGTAACCAAGGGAGTAGGAAGGCCAAGCAAAGGTCTGAGGGCACAGCCACAAGGACTAAGACTCATGCGGCTTCTCTGGCTCACCTGCCTGAGGCTTCAGCACCTGTATATCCCCTGGGCTTTACTAATAGGGGTGGTGTTTCCACTTGCCTTCCTCCCAGGAGAGCTGTGAGTGTTAATTAACACCTGTGTCATGCTTTGAAGATAAAAAAATTATTTAGAAAGACAACAAAATCAGGTCTTCCTTGCTGGATTATGTCTGGGATCCATGTGGATGATTAAAGAAAGCCTGCAAATCATAGGCCTCTTTTTTCACTAAACCTCACCGGAACCAAATCTTACAAAGGGATGCTGTCCTCCCTGACATCCTTCTCACCACAGATGACACCATGGCAGCCATACTCCTGGGATGCTTCCTGAGTGGACACTGCCTGGCACTAGGTTGAAGGAGGAGTCACTACCCCTTATCCCACAATAAGATCATATCCCTTCTATAGTCCTGAGCCAGAAGGCTCCACAGGCAAGGTGACCATGACCAATTATATGTGAGATGCCTGATACTTGAAGGGACTCAGACTTAGAGGGAAAAGGGAATACTGTTATCCTGCTCAGTCTCCACCCTCTATTTTTTATTTCTTTTTGAGACAGAGTCTCACTCTGTCACCCCAGGTAGAGTGCCGCGGCATCACAGCTCACAGCAACCTCAAACTCTCGGGTTCAAGCAATCCTCTCACCTCAGCCTCGCAAGTAGCTGGGACTACAGGTGCCCAACAGAACGCCTGGCTGTTTTTAGAGACGAAGTCTCATTCTAGGTCAGGCTGGTCTTGAACTCTTGAGCTCAGGCCATCCACCCGCCTCAGCCCCCCCAGAGTGCTAGGATTACAGGCATCAGCCACTGCACCCAGCCTCCCCCTCTTTTTCTAAAGCCATGGTTATACTGAACATTATAGAAATACTTAAAGGGCATAGAAGTGGGAAATAATTTCCTGACTTTGCCTCACAGTTATGCCTGACCGTAACAAGCGATAGGGAAGAAAAGCACACAAACCCTGAGGTCCACAGCCCCTTCATCACACACTGGGCTTATTCCGGGTAGCAGGTGAGGTGAATAGACAAAGCAGCCAGGGCAGACCAATGCTGCTAGGTGCCTAAGCGTCACAGGTGGTAGAAAGAGCCAGTTCCCCACTTGGAGTTTCCTGAAATACTCTCACCCACTCCAATACCCCTGGGTTCCACGACAGTATTTCCAGGAAAGGAAGGTGTGATGAGTTAGGGTTAGGAAACAGGAAAGGGAACAGTAGGCTTCTCCAGGCCAGACACTTCTCAAGTCCACAGCCTTCACTGCCCGCTGGGGAGCATGAGGAGCACTGGACCCATCCGTCTTGTACAAACACTGAGGGAAGAAAAGGAAACAATGACCCTGGCTGCCAGTCTGGGTTTACAGAGCAGCTACAGTCTGTTTTCTTATACGTGCAGACAGCTTCTAAATTATGCATTTCCCCAGAGTAGAATTATTTCTTCTCTCACTTCTTTTCTGTAGGAAATCCAAAAAAAGGTCACAGGCAGAGGTTTCTGGTTATGCTCAGCTTTGAATCTGAATCCCGAAACTTATTTGAAGCTGCCTTCTGCGGAATAGGCATTTATAGTCTATCTTACATGTGAGTTTGTCACATACAAATGAGCACTCATGTACATACAGTCATTCCTCACCACAGCTCAGAACGCAGAAAACAAAAGTAAAATCTCCCATACACTCAAGGGTCCAGGATGCTTGGTGCTAGGCACCTGGCACTGGGTGCCTAAGTGTCACAGGTGGTAGAAAGAGCCAAGTATCCCACTTGGGGCACCTGTTTACATACAAATGTAAACTCATACTGTCAGAGTCACTCTGTTCCTCTCCCTTTCATACGAATTCACAGAGGCCAGGAGTGGTAGCTTATTCCTGTACTCCTAGAAAGCACTCTGGGAGGCCAAGGCGGGTGGATTGTTCAAGCTCAGGTGTTGGAGACCACCCTGAGCAAGAGCAAGAGCAAGACCCTATCTCTACCAAAAACAGAAAAACTAACTAGGTATTATGGTGAGCACCTGCAGTTCCAGCTACTCAGGAGGCTGAGGCAAGAGGATCCATCGAGCCCAAGAATTTGAGGTTGCTGTGAGCTATAATGCCAAGACACTCTACCCAGGG